CTCTGTTAGTAATCTGTCCATGGGGCCGCGGAGTGTAAGGCACGCGGGCCCTGGGCGATCAGCGGCCTTCCTGGGCCACCGCAGTGAGCTGGAGAGAGACAGAGGGAGGCCACCGAGATGGCATCCTCTGGGTTCTGTGGAGGATCACCGTCCGCCCCTCGGTGTGTGTTCCATTAGAAGCCGGCCTCTCAGGCCACAGCCATTAAGATAAACGCCTCGGCCTCGTGAGGCGGGACCGGCCGTTTCCGTGGGCCACCTCTGTGCCACGCCCGGGGAGGAGGGCTGCTTAGAACCGTTTCTCTGCCTGCTGCAGTCCCGTGGCACCGATGGCTGGGAGCCCAGCTGGCCACCAGAGCCGGAGGATGGAGGGGCGTCCCGCGGCAGGGGCACAGAACCGGGGTCCCGGACGTGGGCCGAAGCTCTGTCGGGGACACCCTGGCAGCTGCGGCAAGGCGGAGGGAGCGCAGCGCAGGAGCCCGGCAGCCCTGGGGCCGTGTGCGGAGCGCGCGTGGGTCCCCGCCTGCCGCCTGGGGGCTGCGCCCAGGCCACGCGCCCGCTGAGTCTGTGCGAGCGTTCAGGACCGTCCCCTCGTTCACCAGGGCCCTGTGCATCTCACGGACGTCAACCCTGTTGGCCCTCGGACCTAGATGTTTTAGGGTCTCTGTCTCTCAAGGAAGTTGGGGCGCCAGGCGTGGGGTCCAAACCCGTCCCTCCGCAGGGAGAAGGTGGGGCTGGGAGTTTGCTCCTGGGCGTGTGCCCCGCCGCGCAGGGATGGGATTGACCGCGACATTGTGTGTTACCCCTCTCGCCGGTTTTCATTCCCTGATGCGTACAGGAGTCAGCCGGCTAGTTTCTGGCCACCTTTCCCAGGGACGAGTTCTGTGTGTCGCTGTGGGAGGAGGTGAATTCGGCTCCGTTGCTGTCGGAACTGCTACTCTCTGACACCGACTCTGCTTATTTTACACAGATCATCTACAGTGATACACATGAATAGCAAGATTTTCCAGGTGAACCTAAAGGTTTAAGAATAATGAGGTTTTAAAATGTATACCAAGTGTGGGCAGCTGGGTGGCTCCGTCAGTTGAGCGTCCGACTTCGGCTCAGGTCATGATATTACATTTCATGGGTTCGAGCCCCGTGTCGGGCTCTGTGCCGACATCTCTGAGCCTGGAGCCTACTTTGGACTCTGTGTCTCCCTCTCTCTGCTCCTCCCCCATTCATGCTCTGTCTCTCAAAAATAAATACAAGTTAAAAAATTAAAATGTATACTGAGTGGAGAAGCCTAGAGATAACCACGTTCAGCAAAGGATAAAGTTAACATCACTGAAAATGGGACAGACCTTCATAACCTGCCCTTGGCACATCATCCCTTGTGTCCTGTTCCTGCTAAAAACACATACCCAGAATCTGATCCTCAAGGGCACATAAGACACACCAAAATTGAGGCACATCCTGCAACTAGATTGTACTCTTTTAAAAAAGGGTCAAGGTCTTTCACTAGAGAGTCCGCTTTTGGTCTTCTGTCTCTGTCTCTCTGCGCCTCCCTTGCTCACATGCTTGCTCTTTCTCTCAAAAATAAATACTAAAAAACCCCGGGTGGCTGGGTTAGGTAAGCATCTGACTCTTGGTTTTGGCTCAGGTCCTGATCTCACAGTTGATGAGTTCGAGTCCTGCACTGGGCTCTGTGTTGACAGTATGGAGCCTGCTTGGGATTCTCTCTCTCCCTCTGTCTCTACCCCTCCCTGGCTTGCTCTCTTGCTCTCTCTCAAAAAATAAATACATAAACATAATAAAAATTTTAAAAACCCCAAAAACCAAAGATAGGCAGAGAAACCATTCCCCGTCAAAGAAGATTAAGGGGACCTGACTACATGTCACATGATTGTGAGTTAGACCCTAGACCAGATCAGGGAAGCAAGCACACGCAACTGTAAAAGACCTTGCAGACGGGCAACATTTGAGTGTGGCTGTGTAGATGATATCTTTGTTGAATATGTTAAGTTTCTTTATTTTGATAATTGTAAGGTGGTTATGCAAAAGCATGTTCTAGTTCTCAGAAAATTTACATGAAGTCTTTTAGCATACATGGGCATAATGCTTGAAATGTAACTCACAAAATGGTTCAGGAAGCAAGTGGGCTATGGAAGGAGAACATCAATGGTGCAGTATGTAAACAGCCGTCGAATTGGGATAAAGGGTAGATAGGGGTTCTTGGCGCTATTCTTGTCATGTTTCTGTAAGCTTGAGTTACCTCAGAAGAGGTAACTGGAAGAGCTGAAACTTGACCCTGTGTATGTGTGTAAATTACCACAGATGTACACGCATACGTGCAGATACAGAACTGAAGCCTCACATTCCTGTATGTAGTCTTTGCTGTGCTCGAAAGCCACTCTGAGGCATCCCCCTTCACACACCCGAAGGATCTTGTGTTGTTGCTCTCAGGTTATCAAGTGAGTTCATGAGCTCGCAGCACCCTACTGTCCAAGGAGTGATGGGAGACTGTGTGTGTGGTTCCCATGCCAGTGGCCTTGCTGCCCTGGGAAAGAAAGTGACGCGTGTCCTTGCTACACTTGATTTGAATGGAAGTCTGCACCTGTGCCGCACTGGTTTTTGTATTCATTCCCCCATCGGAGGATTACTGAGTCAGGGAAATCCCAGCTCAGCTCCACAGAACACATCCGCTCGTCTTGGTACTTTCCCCTAAACACACGTTCTGCGTGCTGGTGCAGTCTGCACCAGCTTGATCCATTTTGCATTGTAACCGAAAACAGTCCCCTCCCGTCTGGCCTGTGCCCAGTGTGGAGTGGAGAGCCAAGTGCCCTCCCGCGCCCTCCCCATGCAGTGGAGGGGGACACGCTGGAGTGCTGGCTTCCGCACTTACCTACTTTCGTGCCGTCACAACAGCCAGTCTTTGAAACAAAGGCAGGTTTGGGGAATGGTGGGAGGGATAAATGACTGATTTAAATACGATGAAAATCATTGTCAGTGCTTGTGGACTCCAGGGTGACCTTTCATGGCAAGGAGTGTCCTAGGCCGGTGTCATCAGCCCACCTTCAGAAACTGAGCAGTGATGCCTATCAGAGATGCCATACTCACTTGGTATCATTCTTTTTATTTTTTAAGGTTTATGTATGTATTTCGAGAGAGAGACAGAGTGTGTGTGAGCGGGCAACGGGCAGAGAGAGAGAGAAAATCCCAAGCAGGCTCTGTGCTGCTAGCACAGAGCCCAGAGTGGGGCTTGAACCCACAACCTGTGAGATCATGACCAGAACCAAGATCAAGGGTCAAGACGCTCAACCAACTGAGCCACCCAGGCGTCCCTCTCCTGGTTTCATTCTTAAGAATCTTGACCATCTCCTGTTAGGTCCAGAATCACTAGAATAGGCTTTACCTAGCGGACTTCGGAATTTCTTTGGGCCTCTGGCCTGTGAACACTGGTGGGGAAGTCCTCTCCAGGAACCTTGGTCAGAGGCAACCATGGCCGATCCCAGCAGGAGCTGACAGTGCGGCTGCTTGAGCTAGCCGCCTCTGCAGTTAGGGCAGAAGGAGAGCAGGACGGGGTGAGGGGATCTCCTGGTGCTGATCGTGACTCCGGCGAAGGAGGGCTATCCTCCCCAGAACGGGTTCTGAGGTATCCTTTTGGGTGGGCCCCCTAGTGCTCAGACTGCCCTTTAGATGTGGTGCCATTAGCAATGAAAGAAACGAGGAACTGTCGTGAGAAGCAAAGTGTAAATTGCACACTGGTTAATTCACCTACTTGTTATTACTAAAACAGCAAACAATTAGCACTAGGACCCCTACTGCACAAAACTCATCTCCCCAACTACAAATGCTGCCTTGCATGGAGAAATCCTGCAGACCAGATTTCGCACAAGTGCCCTGATGAAATAAACGGAAGATGTGCAGTACTCGGTGTCCCAGGAAAAGATGGCCACAACCCACATATCCCACCAAAGAGGACCGCTAAATAAGGGCCCACTAACGTACATCGGCATAGTAGACAGCTATAAAAGAGAGAGAGAGAAAGCATTTTATATGGTGAAATGGAAAAATCTGTTTCAGTATAATTAAGAATGGCTGGGTCCTTTGAGTCCATAAAAGCAAGATATAGAACTGGGTGCATAGGAGGCGATCTTAGGTGTGGCAAAAGACCGAAGTAGGACAGGTCTTTGTCGTTGCTTTTGTAATAATGATAGCTGGGAAGGATACACAAGAAGTGAACATTTACTCATAGGCCATTCTGGATGACCCGGGAATGGGGGATTTTCAGCATCTGGCTTTTTCGGTTTTTTCATTTTTCAACCATGTGAATATATTACATACATACTAAACAATGAAAAACAAAGTACCAGACTCAACACTTTATTTTTGTAACATAACTGCGTGCTTTATTGAGATACACAGTAAAGCAGTAATATAATACAATAGTAAGGCATATATTTGGTGAAGTCTGATATGTTGTGAAAATGCAGTAAAACTGAAGTTTAAAAAAATAATTAGTAAATGTTACAGTGTTGGTTTTAAAACACAATCTGTTATGATACTCAAGGATGAACCTAGTACCTGAAAACAATGACAGAACATGCCACGTGATGTTTACCCTTCAGTTTCAGTATGACTTATAGCTTAATTCTTGGTGGTTATACACAACACGAGATAATGTCCAAATTATGCTTAAAATGTAGCAATAAAGCTCTCAATTTTTATTCAAATACTTTGACAGACTCACTCCAGAACTAATGTCTAAAAGATAAAACAAAAAGATTAAAATAAAATTATGCACTCTATTTACCTCTGCTTTTAGAATGAAACTTAAAAATGCTTAGTAGGAAGTAACACAACCCTTTGTTTCTAATCATGGTTAAACAAACAACAACAAGAACAAAAAAAAAAACAAAAACAAAAACAAACCAAACCTGTGGGTAAAGGAAAAGTCCAGTGTCCCATAAAGGAAAACAAAAATGCAAGACTAAAACCAAATCTTCAGGTCATTTTGTTACCTTAGAGCTTTGGGTTTTCTTGTGGAAATTACAGTGGGGGGAAAAATCGAGAAAAATGTTGACACAGGGGACAAGTGGGTGAAAGCAGGTGTGCACGATTATTAGGAACACCCCAAAACCAAAGTGAGGTAGAAATAGCATGAGAAGCCACGTTGGATGTTAGTTTTCATTAATAAAATAATACACAAAACCCACTCCCCAAAAGTTAACAACACTTGACCTAAGAGGTAACAGATTTGCAAAATAACAGGTCACACGGTGATTTCTACTGAATGAATGATTAAAAAAAAAAATGAAAGGCTAAGAACACGAAAAGAGTAAAGCTTGTTCCTACCAGTTAGTCCTCTTGGGTTATTCTCTTTTTGAACAATCTTTGTATCTTTAACCTTCCTCGTCCACAAGCAAGGGTTTCGAGTACCTTTCGGAACATGCAAATCCGTCTCCGTTCCCCCTTACAAACCTGTGTGGAATTACTTGTAGAGAAATGTGAAGTAGGGAAAGGAAGTTCATGGCCTCCTGGATGGATATTTAACAGCAACACACCATGACGAGGCTGTCTTACACATTTTCCCGAGGGTTATTTTAAATGAAGTCTTGTGGCATTTAAAAACTCACTGCAATGGGGAAAATCTTTAAAAAAAAAAAAAAAAAAAGGAAAGGAAAGGAAAAACCCCTCAAATACCCACTGCTGTTTGTGAGAGGAGGGCAGAGTGAATTCGCTGTAATTACAAAGATCTCTAAGTGTGGTTATGAACATTCACGCAGTCCTTTACTTCGAGAGTGGCCCCCCACCCTCACAGGGATAGGCTGGGAATCCAGAGCCTTCCAGCCCTACCAGAAAGCTCTCCTACTGTCTGGGAGTTAAAAATGTCTTCTGATGTCATGACTTCCACGGAAGCATCATTAAATGTAGACCGGGGCATTGCCAGCAGCGGGAAGCTGAATGTATCCACTAACGGATCACACTGACACAATGAGTCCTGTGTGTGCATTCCTATGTCCCTTTGAAAAAACTCAGTACTGGAGCTGTCCGTGGAAAGTGGCAAATGAGAAACATCTGGAGCCCGAGACAGCGCTGCAGTGTGGTAGCTGCCCCCTGGTTTTGGGCTCCAGGGAAAATTCATTCTAGACCAAGCGGGCAAGCCTGGAGGACCAGCGGCCTTCTCTCTGCATGAGGAAGCGGCCAGGTCACGTGAACAAGAGATCGAAAAAGGCTCTAGAAATTCAGATCTAGTTATCTATATACCTACAGTATTTACATACTTCTAGACATATAGATGCAGAAAGCGAAAAACCATGGCTAGTCCCACTCGGTCAATGATTCCAAAAAGAGCCTTGTGAAAGAGGCATCTGGGGCTGTTAGAGGAAGTGTCCTATCTTGAATAAGCAAGAAAAGAAAAACAAAAAACCCCATGGATTTCATATGGATATCACGCTAAAATGATGCAAAACAATGCGCTGCCTCAGTGTGTGTGTGTGTGTGTGTGTGTGTGTGTGTGTGTGTGTGTGTGTGTCTGTTTTTAGGGGTTTTTATAAACAACTTTTTTTTTATAAAGCACACTTTAGTTTACAATCTTTCTTTATAACTGTTATAAATTTTTAAACAACCCAAAATGCGTTCCATATAAAGAAATGGCAAGTTATTTAGCTATCAAGATTTTACATGTAGTTTTCTTATAACTTTTTTGTACAATTGCATAGACGTGTAAAACCTGCCATTGTTAACAAAACAATAACAGACTTAGAAACTACTGAAATCTACAGTATAGTACCACTACCCTTCACAAAAATATAGATTTTTTTTCTTGTAAACTCTTACTGTCTAATCCTCTTTGTTGTATGAATATTATAAAAACCATGCGGGAATCAGGAGTTGTAAAACATTTATTCTGCCCCTTCTTCGTCTGTCATGACTGACACTAAGGACTCCATCGCTCTGCCCACATCATCTGCCAAGTGGAAAAGGCTTCCTACATTGTGTCCTGGAAAACAAAGAGAAAGAGACACTTGACACTAGGTGTAGGTAACATGACCCTGACTCTTTGCCGTTCGGGAAATCCTTCCCCACTTCTAGGTGCAGACAACACAGAAGCCGGGTTGAGGGTCTACACGACAGGATTTGATTTTTCACCAGTTTCCAGGAAGGAGCAAAGCTTTGTTAATGAAGCCATTCCACGTGGTTAGTATCAGCTTAATACTGGATGAGGCTACTGTGGTCATTTGAATGGAAGAGTGTCAGCGAGTGCACTCATCTTTGCAATGGAAATCTCTAGCAAAAGGGTTCCACGGAGAAGCACAAGGTTCCCCTCCTAACAGGAGTGTCACAGGATGGGATGTCCCTTCTCCACCTTGCTGTGGGAGATGACGTACTATGTCCTGGTTCTCGAACTTTCTGTATTCCCAAACCACTGCCACCATAACTATCACCACTGCCATCGCCAGGATCATCGCTACCACCACGACTGAGATCTGGAACCGTCATTTCCATGCTATTGCAAGCTGCTGGCTCATTCTGAGGCTACCGCAGAGGAGACTGTTTTCTCCCTGCTTTTACTGCAATTGAGAAACTCTCGAATCAACCGTTTTTGCGTATTAATATTGGAATTTGGAAGCTTCATCCTAAGAATCCCTTTTCATTCCAATGACTCTTGAGCCTAATTAGGAAAGGACCTACATGGAAAGCATGGATTTGGGGATCCTGTGAATCCATGTTTTGTTCTCCTCCCAGCTGAGGGTTAGCTGTCAGAACAGCCTTGTAATAATGTGACGCGGCCTCAAGTGAGTCCCTGAGCATGGGGCACAAAAGCAGCACGGTGTGTCTGGGACTCGGGGGCCAGATTCACATCTAGAGTCCGATCATTTGAGACCTAGTTTATGACTTGCCGTTTCACACATGTCCCATAGTTTCATATGGCTAATTTTAATTCCTGGACGTTAGTAAATCATTCTACTCTTGGAGTACTGCCTTTGGAACTAAAAATGCTTGACTAGGTTATTACTACTTTGCCATGTATCAACTTTATATACATTCTCATCACTGTTAAAATCCTTGTAAAAATTAAAGATAGACCAGAGCAGGTATTCTGCTCTGATGTTTTTTGCAAGAGACATAGCAGTTTTTAAATACACACAAGAGATGGACGCCCGGGTGGTTCAGTCGGTTAAGTATCTGACTTTGGCTCGGGTCCTGATCTTGCAGTGTGTGGGTTCGAGCCCCACATTGGCCTCTGTGCTGACAGCTTGGGCCCGGAGCCTGTTTTGGATTCTGTGTCTCCCTCTCTCTGTCCCTCTCCTGCTCAAGCGCTGTCTCTCTCAGAGATAAACATTAAAAAATGAAAAAAAAAAAAAAACAAAAAACGAGAGAGAGAGAAGGCGGGCGGTGTCTGAAGAGGACTGAGAGACAGGCACTTCCCCAGCGACGGCACCAGATCAAGTTAAGACTTACTACAAATTTCACACCATCCTGCCACTTACTTTGAGGTGATCAAGTGTGGAACTCTTGCGGAGCTTTGTATTAATGCAGAGTTCCAGTGAGATCTGGCTGTGTTTAAAAAAAAAAGAAACCACTCTGGATTTCGGTTGAGGCTGCAGATAGAAAAGCAAAACGGGTGTGCTGTTTTGGGTGCTGAAGCAAAGCAGGTGTACCCTTCCTAAAGTGAGGCAGCAGTGTGGCAGTCCTCCAGCGAGGATGGGAACGAGCTTTGGCTTTCCTCACCCATCCAAACCACCAGAGGACACGGTGGGCCCTTGGCTGCTCCTTAGAGCACAGACACTTAACCTGATGCGGCCAGGTTCAAGGGCTGCCCTTGTATCTTTTTTTTTTTTTTAAGGTTATTTATTTTTTCTGAGAGAGAGCAGGAAAGGGGCAGAGAGAGGGCGAGGGAGAATCCCAAGCAGGGTCCACACTGTCGGCACAGAGCCTGATGTGGGGCTTGAACCCACGAACAGCAAGATCATGACCTGGGTGGGAGTCAGACACTTATCCGACTGAGCCACTCAGGGCCCTGCACCCCCTTGTATCTGTTTTTGACTGCCCGGCAACCCCTGCCCAATTACTCGTGTGTGACTGAAAACGAGTGGGCTACCTACAAAATTTTAATTACGTGCAGTCTTAGCAGCAATTAATGAAGCCGGGAAAAACAAAACCTGAGACCCTTACAAGCTGATAAGTGAAGAGAACTCAAACGATTTCTCATTACCCACTTCTAACTGGAGGCTGGCCCACCTGGGAGACAGAACATGTATTACCAAATACAGACGGAACAGGTAAGAATTCCTTTGCCCCACTGGCTTATTGATAATAATCAAAAAATACTTCTTTTACTTGAGCTTGGGGGCTAGGCAGTGTGGACTGCAGTTCATGCGTTTAGGGATCACCTGGCCCCGTATGTGCCGCCTCTAGTCTGTGGAATGGTGTTTGGTTCCTACCCGGGGGGGCACATCCTTGACATTCTCAAGAGGCATCATTTCTAGGGGTCTCTGCTATTTAAAAAGTTACTATGCAAAAGAGAGCTTCATTATTCTTAACTACACCACGCTCACTCCCACAAAACATCAGGTGGCCTTGAACCTGTCTGGATGGTTTGCAGTGTTCATAAGTGACCTCAAGGCTGTCCCTGTGCTAGGAAAATGAAGACCGTTCAGAGTCACCTCACTGTATCTATATTATACCTTTGGTTGCTTTATTTACAAATACCTGCTTCACCAGACTAACGACTGCAGTGTTTTTCATGGAGGTTTTCATTAGAGCCAGAAAAAAAAATTCTATCTCCTTGACAAAATACTGCCCCAAAGAATCATAACTCAGTCCCTGGAGGCATAAAGCTACAGTGTGAAAGGGATACAGAAAACAGATTTGGATCCCGGTTCTATTATCCGTGTGTGGAAGGCAGAACGTTAGTGAGGCCATTAATTTTACCTGACAGATTTTTCTGAAGTCAAAATTAAAATCTCGTGCTATGAACATGAGGGGCCCTGAGAAGCAGGTAGGATTTAGGCATTTGCAGTCTGCTGCAGGCACAAGTTGACATAAAGATACGTCTGTAGAAAGTACTAATTTAATCCATTCTTAAGCAAGGATTGCTGAACACAAAGGCACCATGCATCGAACATGAGGGCGGTTGTATGTTTTTCCGGGCTGGCGCTGACCGCAACACATTTCGTCTCACGCGCCACCACGGCCGGAGGGAGGTGTTTTCCACAGTGATTGGAACTGAGAGTTTCTGGCACAGACCCAAGACCTCAGTAGCAATCTGGCACTCTCTTTGTTAAAAATACACTTCCCAAATAAACGGTTAGCATTCAGTTGGCCACACTGAAGCCAGAATACTGCAGTGAAATTTGTGTTTTTCTTCTCTACAATTTAATCTTTGAAAAATACCTAATCTCCTCTACATTTGAGGTCATTTTTGCAGAGCTAAAGAATCACTTTGATTCTCTGGGTTTCTGGAAACTTCGGACTCGAATATACAACTCAGGTAGGAAAGTTTCCAAATGCCTGTGTGACTTGAATGATCCGTATTGCTGGCCTGTTGTAAAATTCACTCATGAGAGAAACCTGTTCGGGGTGGTCAAAATTAATGTGCGGCTTTTTATAACGTGTCAGAATACGTTGTAAGGGGCACTTACCGTAAGACTGAACCCAAGAAGCCTCACGCAAGAAGGACGTGAGCCAGGCAAACAGTCGGGAGCATTCACTGCTTCCCCAATTCAGGTGTCCTCAGTTTCTCCTCCCAGCCTACCACTCCGCACCCCACCCCCACCCCGTACCCCACTGTCTCCAGCCTTGGAAGAGAGCACTGGTACAGACACCCTGAAGGATGTTCCATTTACTAGGCTTGCCTGGCCTGGTGTTGGCGGACTTTCCAGTATGAGTCCTTATGTTTAAATGAATCCGGGACGACTCTTGGCTGTCCTGTGGCGAAGGATCTAGAATCTTCTCACAGCAGAACTCTCTACCTGTCCAACCGGTCTCCCAGAATAGCATGGGTTAGGGCCATCCAGGAAGGAGCTTCCCTTCTCCCATTTTTCACGCTAAACTCTTGATAAAGGATAAGCTTGTTTCACTTGGGCTGCCACTCAACCCTGTCCTCCAGTAGCCATTTGATTAGGAAATGCCATGTTCACCAATATTTCTGACAGAAATATGAAGGAGGGTTGCCTGTCAAACTTGAAACCACATTCAGTGATGATACTGTATCCTATCTCTTTTAACCCAATCAGTAGGCGCTTAGAAAAACCCTCAAGACTCCAACATTCAATTTTTATCCCTACTTGGTTATGTTCTATCTGGTTCCAAATGCCAAGGAAAGAAAGGGCACTCTCTAACGGGCTAGTCGAGATGACGTAGCCTATCAAACACCATTTGCTAAGGTGGCAATTAAGCCTGAGAGTGTGGCTCTGGACCCAGACTGGCTGGATTCAAATTCTGGCTCTGTCCTCTCCAACATCCTGCTTACTCTCTTAAGGACTCAGTTTCCTTATTTGTAAAACGGGGTCAATAAGAGTACCTACCTCAGAGATTTGTCATGAAGATTACATTTTGAAAAAGATGGCAAGTGCTTACAACAGTGCTTGGCCCAGTAAGTGCTCAAAAAAAAAAAAAAAAAGCTGAAGTGGGAAAGGAGTGTAAGGATGAGGAAAAAGGAAAACAAAAACAAAACAAAGTGATTCCAGAAGAATAAAAAACCAAGGGCACTGGCAGAAAATGCTAGGGTCCTGGAAGTGGATAGAAACTTTATGACTCATCGATTATGTTCAAGGCTGAATTCATTTTTTAGAGGAGTCTGTTCGTGTTACAAATGGCAACAGATGGTGACGTGCAGGATTCCAACCTGGGGACCACAAAGGGCTGCCATTTTAGAGAGATTCCTGCTCCCCCAACCCCTGCTCCTGTCGTCATGGTGAGGACAATGGCAGTGAACATTTGAAGAGTGTTCCTCATGAGCTGTGAGTGGAGACGTGACTACCATCCTCACATGAT